AATAACAGCCAAAGAAATATGAGATGTAATAAAAAAAACCTACTGACAAAGAAAAGTTCAGGCCCTGATGGATTCACAGCTGAATTGTACAAGAAATTTATGGAAGATATAATCCCTATACTCCTAAAACTCTTCAATAAAATTGAAAAGGAAGCAGTCTTCCAAAAATCATTCCTGGAGGCAAGTATTATACTAATACCAAAACCAGGGAAAGACGCAACTAAAAGAGAGAACTACAGGCCAATCTCCCTCATGAACATAGATGCAAAAATCCTCAATAAAATATTAGCAAATAGAATACAGCAAATCATCAAGAAGATTATACATCATGACCAAGTAGCATTCATCCCAGGGATGCAAAGATGGTTCAATATACACAAATCTGTAAATGTAATACACTGTATCAACACAGCCGAATCCAAAAGCCACATGATCATTTCAATTGATGCAGAAAAGGGTTTTGACAAAGTCCAACACTCATTCATGTTCAAAGTCCTACAGAAAATTGGAATAGAAGGCCTCTACTTCAAACTGATAAAAGCCATCTATGGCCAACCAACAGCTGAAATAATTCTAAGTGGGGAAAAACTGAAATATTTTAATCTTACATCTGGTACAAGACAAGGATGTCCTCTATCGCCACTCCTATTCCATAGTTCTGGAATCATTAGCTAGAGACATTAGACAAGAGAGAAATAAAAGGAATAAGAAAAGGTAAAGAAGAAGTTAAATTATAATTATTTGCAGATGACATGATACTTTACTTGGAAGACCCAAAAAACTCCGCCAAGAAGCTACTAGAAATGATAAACAAATTCAGTAGCATAGCAGGATATCAAGTCAATACCCAAAACTCAGTAGTATTCCTCTACACAGATAACAAACACAATGAGAAGGAAATTAAAGAAAAAAATACCTTTTACAATAGCACCATGGAAAATGAAATACCTTGGAATTCATCTAATTAAAGAAGTCACAGAATCTGTTCAAAGAAAATTACAGTACTCTGAAAAAAGAGGTCATAGAGGACTTCAGAAAATGGAAAGATATTCCCTGTTCCTATATATGGTAATATCTGTGAACTAAGCAACTGCACTGAATAGCAATGTGTAATACAAGGGTCATGCTTGGAATACCTGTCGTTCTGGTCTTCTAAATACATACTGCTGGTCATGTCATGTCAATTACTGCTATATTGTCTCTCAAGTAAATGTTTGTTTAAAAAAAAAGGGTAACAAATGAGAAAAGAAAAAGAATGTTGCAGGACTGTCCTGCTACAATGCTGTATATGGTTAGATTTCTAAATTTCTGTGAAAAAATATGTAATTGTTTATTCATATTTTTAAAATTTTTTTCTCCATATTCTGTAGAGTTATAATTTAACATATCAATACTAGATGGAAAATAACTGTTCCATGTTATGCCTAAGATGTTTGCTATTCAGTCAGATAGTGAGGTTAAACCCAACTGAATTATGTTGTAGGGTAAAAAGCTTCTCCCTTGGAGGGTTAACAACTTAAGTTTGCAGCCCAAAAATTTGAGAAAAAGAAGGGCTACAAGGACAGCCAACATTTTGGCCCTAGCCTTTCAAAGTCAGTGAAGACTCAGGACATAGGAGAATCTGTACTGTAACATCATGTAACTCAGTTGTGTCCCAAATTTTCTGATCAAGATTATGGGGCCACAGAGTAATGTGATTAATGACATGGAGTATGTATAAGGAGAGTCACATGGAGAGAAAACATCCTCTCCAGCTTTCACAGAGAGAAAATTGGTCAAGCAATGGCCATGACTCATCCACATGGCTGATACTGACAAAGGATCTACAATCTGCAGTACAGGGTTTCAGGGTAAATCCTGAAGGGACTTGACTGACCTAATCAGATACAAAAGATACATTTCTTGTTATATGTCTTGCCTTCTCTTGGTCTTAATCATCCAGCAGAAAAGTATAAAAATCAGGTATAAAATTAAAGCCATATTGATATGTTGAGCTGTAAAAGGCTCAAGTCAACAACTTCTGACATTGCCAGTCCTCTGGATAACCCACTATTGACTATTGGACAATATTGGACTATTTTGCTGAATTCACGCACCTAAAACATTTAAACAGCAATAGAATACCCATCTCTAATAAAACTAAACAAAAAAGAGTGATACAAATGAAGGACCATTTTGTATTTGTATATAGAAAATAGGATAGATACACAGCTACTTTCTCTTAATTCAGTGAGAAAATTTGTACTAATAGGATTTGCACAGGATATCATGTCTGTATCTTGTACTATTTATAACCACTAAGAACATAACAATATGCAATGTATCAATTGTTAAAACTGTCCTATTAATCACTTCTGAAACTGTCTCATTGCTGTTTCTCAATAAAATTAATTTAAAAAATTTAAAAAAGGATTAAACAACACAGATGAGGGAAAAGAGAAAAGACAGGAAAAAAGGCAAGAGATGATTGTACTAATAACTTCCATCAGTTTTTTGAAAACAATGTTTAAAATTTTCACTTTTATTAAATCTTTATGGTGGTATGTGCAATCTAAGGAACTATATGAAGGACAGCAAGTGTAACACAAAAACCATGGTTGAGTAATTCTTATATTGTTCTTCTAAATGTGTTCCATTTCTAATGTCTTATCAGTTGTTATATTCTCTTTAAAATGAATTTTTTTAAAAAATAAAAAAGACAAGAAAAAAAAAGCCAAGTTCTATCAAGTTGTAGGTAACTTTTAATAAAGTTCCTTTTGCAATTTCAGTACTATTACACCTATTTATGACTGTTTAAAGTTAATTTGGGTATAAAGAGGGAAAGTGAAGCAAAAATAATGAGTGTTAACAGACCTAAATGTGTAAAGTGAAAAATCTTGATGACTTCAATGTAAATGCCATTAATTTTAAACAGGAAGCTAAAACTTTTTACATTGTATACAGTGTAACGTAATATGTTGCACTGTTTGGGTCACAAATAGGAAACAAAGACCATCACACTCACAATTTTATCCCTGTCATTTTTTCTGGTTATTTGGTAGCATTTTTTATTTCTTTAGCTCAAACTAAAGCACAAACAATAATTTGTAGCACTTTCTCTAAAGGCAAGTTACATAAATATTTAGACAACATTTAGCCACACTTAACCTTTTAAAGGTTTGTTAATCCATGTTCACGGTAGCTAATATGGCCCACGTGCTTTGACCCATGTTCATGGCACACCTTAATTTCTCACCCTCTGCCCCTTCTCACCTGCTCCTTCCAACTCTTGGTCCCTTTCCAATTTGACAAATTTCTATTTCCACTTTTTTTAAAAATCCCTTTTCTTTCCCTTCTCTCCAGCTATTCGTCTCCTTCCCACTAGAAAAAGATCACCCTACTGCCTATTACCTCTTTTGTTTCATTTTATGTTTCTCATAAAAGAGAAATCACGTGATATCTAAGCTTGTGTGCCTGATTTACTTCATTTAATATTATGGTCTCATGGTATATCTATTTACCTATGAATACAAGCTTATTCTTCATAGGAGAGTAGCATAGTACTTCATTATGTGTTAAGTACCCATTTTCTTTATCCATTTATCTGTGGATGGACACATATGCCATTTCCAAAATTTAGCTATTAGAAATTGTGCTGCTATAAACGTGGATATGCATGTTATCACTGTAATGTGATGACTAAATCCTTTAGGAAGATACCTAGAAGGGGAATAACTGGTTGAATGGAATTCCTATTTTTAGTTTGAGGAATCTCCATACTGACTTATAGTGATTGTACTACTTTACATTTCTACCAACAGTGTAGAAATGTTCTTTTCCCCCACAGCTGTAGCAATATTTCTTATTATTTGGTTTCTTAATGATGGTCATTCTTTCTGAAGTGAGACAGAACCTAATGTAGGGGACAGCAATGTTCAACAGTTTTTCATGTGTTCACTGGCCATTTATACTTCTTCCTCTGAGCAGTGTCTGTCCTCGCTCCTGTTCCATTCATTGTACTGCAGCTTGTTATGCAGCAATTTCTTCAGCATCTCCATGCCACTCATCCAAGGCAAAGGGAAGTCACAGAAATGGAAGTCAAAGGTCACAGAACTACACCAACTCCAAGCTGCAGCACCTCCTGACTCATTTACCTTCCTGATTTTACCCTTCCCATTCTTACAATCTTATAAAACTACACCCCTTTAAAACCTTCAAAAATATACTCTCTAGTCTCCAGCACAGCCCTTGGGTTTTCCAGAGCAAAGCCCTCAGTCTTCTGGGGCAGATTCCTTGGCCTTCTTGCAGACTTGTATGGGGCGCTGCCATGGGCTCTGGGCCCTCAGCTAGATTCTTCAGATCTCTGACACATATTTGATGACTCAATGAATGAATAGCTGTGACTTTGGATATATTAAGCTCTGAGCTAGGCAAACAAAAAACAATCAACAGTTCAGTTTATCATTCATTTAATCTCCTTCCTCTGCTCACTAAATTCTTCCCCATGATGTGGGGGAAGAAAAAAAAATTGCCCAACTAATGGTATAAATTTGGCTTCAGACTTGTTTAATCAGCCAAGATTCTGACAGAAATGAAAATGGATTCCCACACAAATCCTTGGTCATTCATATTTTAGATTCATTTTGGTTTGAGCAGGTCCTATCTTGAGTATATGGATCTGCTTTAGAGCTCCCAAAATACCAATGCAGTAACTACATTATTAAGCTATTTTTAAAAAGCCCCCAAATCAATATAAATGCAATAAATGAATGCCCTTTAATTCTGCACACCTACTAAGATTTGATTAAAAAGAATGACATCAAAATTTTCAGTTAAAGCCAACAAATTTTACATTCTTTCTTTGGATTCCTGTATTCTTAATACACTTGTACCACTTTTCAGCTGGATTTTTTGTATCAGTCACTGAATTCTGTATCAAATACATACTAAAATTTTATGCATTGATACTAATCCCCAACTTAAAATTACAGATTCCTGCATCTTTTAAATAATAACAAACATTCTAATTAGAAAGTTGGTACGAAAGTTTTAATGAAAATATTAACCATACAAAAATTAAACAGCAAAGACACGTAAAAATGACTTAAAAATTCCAACAGAACTGGCTTACTGATACTCACTGATTTGTTTTTATAAGAATTACTTCTAGCTATAATCTACCTAAGATTGTAGTAAAGAAAAACGTGAATCATTTCCATATATAAACCCTGTGCTCAGCACATATTGCTCATAAATATTAGTTTTTTCTTTTATTATTATCTTTAAAAGATACATACAAGTTTTATAAAACATGCCATCTTCAGCTGAAAGCTACTTGCACAGAAAACAGCCATATGTAAAGAACTCAGTCTGGCATTTGTTGAGGAATACAGTGAAATTTTCAATGACCAATAATTCCTCACCAACTTTTAAAACCTATTAAAGCTTCATGTTACAATTTAACAGATCTTTTAGAGAACTGCTTTAAAAAAAAAAGTTACATGATCAAGAAAAGTACTAAACAACTGAAACACTGAAAAATTTCCCACTTACTACACATATGGCTCAGTTTCATCTGAATTTTACAAAATCCAAAACAGTTTGTTTGAAATATTAAATGAAATCAATTAAGTTAATACAAAGAAGCACAATAATGACAAACATGTAATTATCACTAAGCCTTATAAAACACTTTACAACTTCAGTCATGCTTTTACTTTAAACTATGTTATACTCCCCTTTCTAGAATACGAAGTAAGATAAAGCTTAACATTCTGTACCTCTAACAACAGCTGGAGAATACAGACATGAATGAATATCATATTCTAATTACGCATTATCTAATATCCCAAATTCAACAACTTATCTAAATTCAATTTGAGGTATATTAAAAGATGAAACATTTTATTTACTTTGTACCACCTGTGATGTACCATGCAAATACTACCATTGCAACTCCACACACTGGAAGAAAACAGTATCTGTATTTTTGCCAAAATGATAGCTCAATTGCCACTTCATCTCTTTTTCTGTTCTTCTTCCGACGACCCTTCAATCTGTTTTCAAAAGCTTCCAGTTCAGCCTAAATCAAAAGTTTATTTTTTATTAAATTCAATATGTATTTGAAACTTTCCATTTGAATTAAAATAAATCAATTTGGGAGATTTCAATAGTAATGGGGTAAATATTTTAATTTGAGCACAACACATCTCTACACTACCGAATTTGAGAAGCAGAAGAGGAGCTGGGGAGTGACAACAGAGATTACATAAGATTATAGGCCTAACTATAAAAATAAATATTAAAAGTTGATTGAATTGGGGCCTTATAAAATATAAACATCAGTTTTATACTTCAATACAATCATATTCCAGTATCAGCTCTTTAAAAGTGCTAAGACATGCCTGGCGAGAAAGGAAACTTACAACTGAAGAAAAAAATTGCAACTCAAATGTAAAAAAGAAGTAAAAAAAAAAAAAAAACAAAAAAAAACCCCACCAAATTGCAACTCAAGAAATAAAATAAATATTAGTGATTTTAGGGAAGAAATTCAAAATAATGAGAAAAAAGTTGCCAGGACTCAAATCTTCTCTGTATCAAATATATATTTTTAAATATACAGTAAAAGTTCTTCAAGAAATAAAAAAAGATGCTTTAAATTTTAATGCAAAAACTAAAGAACTAAAAACTAGTTCTAAAAAAGGATAACTGGTTACGCTCATTATCAAATGTGGATTTTTATTGTACTATTAAGTATTAAACTTCTGCATACTATGATAATGTATTATGATATACTATAGTACATAGTTATTCATTAAAACATGAGTCATTAACTAAAATACATGAGTCTGTAAATGTTTATGTAATAGAAAGAAATGTAAGCTTCAGCTAACATACTCATTTACCACAAATGAAAAAGACCTAACAATATACTTCATTTACTTGATATAAAGTAGCATTCTTCCATGTGCAAAGCAACCCAAACTATTCCTACATGGTTGTTATATAAAGAAAAAAATCAAACTAGCGTAAAGGCAGACAAAGTTGACGACCACTGACAGTAAAATAAATAATGCTGAAATGACGACCCACGGTGTATAAGTAAGCATTAAGTTCTAGGCATTCTTCTGAAAGTCAGTAAACAGGAATATATTTAAGATTTTCATCCATAATTGATCATTAAATGGTGTTGGGGATAAAAATCTTTAATAATTTAATCACCCAGGATTCCAACCAGTATTAGCTTTGGTAATTATAGCGATTCTAGGCAAATCAACTTTATAGACTAATGAAATTTCAGAGATCATCTTGGCTGATTTTTATTTGCCAACAAATTGTTCTAATATCTTCTTGTTCCAACTCTTACACGTTTTAATCTTCTCATTCACAAAAAAATGGTTAATTTAGTTTATAAGTATAAAGCATCTCAGGATACAAATTACCAAGTGATTAATCACACATCATACTAGGAAGTGAAGCCACTCTTTGGAGTATACAATCAGTATCTGAGCAAACAGTGGATACCAGAAACATACTTTTTCTCTAGGTTATAACAAAAAATGGGAGATAGGCCTACATTTCAGGATCTAATGGGGACTTAGGAAACACAGTATTGAAACAAATGTATTTTTTGCAAGTTAAAAATCTCAAATACTTTCACATAAGTAAAGACATGGGTTCCAGAAGATGCCTTACAAAATGATGACATGATACTCTTTTTACTACTCCACCAAAAAGACTTAAAGCTCTTACAGCTAAACAGTGAATGAAATTAGCAAGGAAGTAAACTAAAAAGATATACAACACTTAGAATACGCAAAATCTATGCCTTCTTAGAGTCTCGGCATACCTGAAGTGAATATGTGGTTCATTTTTGTTTTATAGAAACTATGTTATATTCAGTTCATATTATAGGTGAACAGCTCCTTTTTGTATTTGGCATCTACCTTAAGTTTGCACAAAAGTAACAAGTCAATAGACACAAATATAAGAAACAAATTATTTTGGTCAGCTACCTGTTGTCTTCGTTTTTCCTCTTCAAGAGCAGCTTTGGCTTCTGCTTCTCTTATCTGTTTAAATGCATTTAAAAACAAATTAAAATATTAATTATATAATTTTGTAGAGAAAAAACTAGTATCTTCTCAGCCAGGCTCTATTAACCTGTATCAAATTTTGGAAGTCTCATATTAAAAACTGTTTAAAGAAAGATAATTAATTATGCTGAGAAGTTTTATCAGACACAATCTAATAGATTGAGAGTGGTGGGGGAATATTATTCCTTAAATATATACTTCCTCAACTATATTAGACTTCAGATCACAGTGAAAGTTATAAAACTCTACTGAAATACTTTAAAATTCTGAATTTCTCTCTTAAATTATTCTATCAGGAATCTATAATTAAGCATCAAATACTACAATCCCCTAAAGCTTAAATTCACCATTTTTCAAATACTCTATCTGGAAGAGAATCCGTGGGGTTTTGTTTGTTTTGATTTGTTTTGTTTTTTTTTTTTTTGCAGAACCGGGGATTGAACTCGGGCCCTTGCACTTACCAGGCAAGCGCTTATTCTACTGCGCTATCTCCTCGGCCCTAAGGGAATCCTTAGTTTTAACAAAATCAAGAGTTTATTCATGGACGAGGTTGACAAAGGAAAACAATAACGTGAACAATACTCCCAAATTCTCCCTCTGTATTCTTTTAATCTAAATTTCCAGGAAACTTATGCTAACATCAAAGCAAATGACTGTGGCCCAGAGCAAACATTACTTGCTGAAGGATGTAAAACTTAATTAGGTACACAGTAGATAAAAGCATGCTCTGGATTCAAAATAAGCCCATAAAACTTAGCTTTTAGACTAAAAACATGAGATGTGTGTGTGTGTGTGTGTGTGTGTGTGTGTGTGTGTGTGTATGTTTTTTAGGGAAAGGGTCTACAAGATAGTCAGGGTCTCACTACTAGATCAGACTCAGTGATCCACCTGTTTACAGCCTCCCAAGAGCTGGGATTACAGGCGCACACCACCATGCCCAGTCTCAACTGCCATCTCAGTGTGGGTGGGGGCGGGGGGTCACAGCTGGCACGGCAGGCCCCAGGATCAAACCCCTGGCCCCTGCACTGCTTGCAGGTGCTTTAATCCACTGAGCTATTTGGCCAGCCCTAAAACATGAGATTTCAAAATGGTTTTAATAAAGCATACAAATAAATGCACATAGTAAGTAGAGAAATGTCATTGGCACATTAAAAAAATTCATAAGACATTACCTCAGATGCTTTCTGCTTCATTTCCTTGCATGTTGTGTCACATTCTATAGAAACCTGATTTTCACGTACTTTACTGCATTGCAATTCCTACAGTCAATACAAATTTCCAAACTGAAATGATCTTTCCTTCAAATTCACAAATATATGCCATAAAAAACTTATCTGTTTATGGTTATAATTATTATTTAATGATATTACAGTGCTAAGCATGAAGTATCGTGATTCAATCAGTGTTTTTTTTCTTTATTTTCTCATAATTAAAAAAAGTGAATAGAAACAGTTAAAATCATCCATGTAATAATTATTTACTAGGTGCCACTGGCAACTTGGCCCATATTATTTTTATTCTTTTCTTTTCTTTACTACTTTTTGTTATTCTTCTAGCTTCCAGGGAATAAAATGCTACACAATAGTTCTACCACCCAGTTTTCTAGGATAACAGAAATGCTCCAAAATTGTACTAGCTAGAAGAGTAGTATTAACTACACATGAGCTCTTAAAATGTGACTAATGCACCTGAGGAAACAACCAAATACTTAATACATGAAGCAGTATTAACATGAAATATGGTAAATCAAAGAGCAACATAAAATAAAGTTTCAAAGGCGTCCAGGGTCCCACCTGCCAACAGGCAAGTCAAAATCATAGCTGAAAAAATCCACTCCTTTCCCTCACAAATTCTGTTGGACTGTATAGACTCTGTTTCTACTGTGCCTTGCAATCATTAGTTTTCACCTGTTTATTCCTCATTACTATTACTTTATCTTATAATTCTTTCCAAGTTTGAGTGTTATTTTATTCATGAGGCTGTGCATGTGAGGTTCTTTCAAAGGTAACATTTTGAAAAGACACTATTGGCAAAAAGTTTAATGAATTAGAACAAAGTTTAATTTCACATCATTTCTTAAATTATGAAACCCATTTTATCATCAAAATGTGTTGCTTCTGCATGGAGCTTGATTCTAACAGAAAATAATACTTAATTGCTAAACTGAAGAAAATTAAATTGCCAAAGCTGATTTTTAAAACTAAGCACTTACTGAAATAAACAAGATCTAAAAGATTCTAAGACGATTTGAACTCAGAAAACCAAAGAAAAAATAAATAAACCCAAAAGAACAGACCATACAGACCAAACAAAACAAAAGAAGAATTTACACAGAAAAAGTATTTTCAATTACTTAAAATACGTACCTTTTTTATTCTTTTACAAGGACACCTAAGTTTAACCTTCTGGTTGCAATTAAAGGGACATTCACCAGGATGACACATCTCTTTGCATCTATGACCACAAGGAAGCTAAAATAAAACCAAAATAAAGCAAGTACATAAGTGCATTGTGGTAGTATGTCCCATCCTTCCACACCCCAACAACGAGCTTAAGAAAGATTCCATCAAACGGTCCAAATCAATAATGGCTAATGGATAGGTTAATTTTCCAACAATCTTCTTTTTAGTAATGTATAAAGAAATTTTAGGACTGGGTATTGATACAGCTCAGTGGCACAGTGCCTGCCTGGCAAGTGCAAGGTCATGAGTTCAATTCCCAGAACCAAAAAAAAAAAAAGAAATTTTAAATATTCTCCCCAGCTCCACTCCAATAGCAGATCTTACAGCCATTCTTGCAGCTAGTTACAGCCACATGATCATGTTCCAGTCAATGGAATGCATGCAAGCGTGCCTGCACAAGCTTCCACAATGTGCTGAAATGAGGAAATCTGTAGCAATCATGAAATCCATGTGCCAGAGAACTGAGCTGCCTGGCTGGATTCCTGGAGGAGTAATATACAAAATACAGTGACACAACTACTAGGCCCTGGACACTGCTTAACCTGCTCAGTGTTTACCCACATAAACACCTGGCACACAGTACTTACTTCAAGTCTGTGTACTTCTTAACTTTACTCTTACAGTTCCTACAGTGCACACGGCCCGACTTCATAAAGAAACCAAAATATGTGGCACTGACTTACCACCTACCCTCTCTTCTCCTCAAATTATGACTCTATAACTTCCTCTGCTTTCCTCAATCTCTGAATTACATCTTGTCTAAAAGTAACTGATTACTCTAAGTCAACTTGAAATCAATGGTTCTAGAGAGTAAGAAAGGAAGCAAGTAAAAAATTTTCCAAAACAGGAAGGAAACTTATAAAACAATACTGTTTACAGATAAATATCCACGCTCATCACCATAGCTGCCACATACACAGTGCTTACCCTATACTAATCCAAGCTGTTACTTCACTAAAACACAAGAACATTCTGAAATGGCAATTATTACCCTCGCTTTATATATGAACAACTGAAATTGCACAGAGTAATTTTCCTAGATAAAAAGTAACATTGCTTTTACAAGAATGGCAACACCAAGTTCAGAAGAAGTTTTGAAAGCAGAAATAATATAATGTCAGTTGCATGCAGAATTTTTTACAAGTTGAACTCAAAAGTAATGAGTAGAGAGCCGGCTAGCTAGCTCAGCAGACTAAGCACCTGCTTAGGCAGATGCAGGGACCGAGGTTCGATCCATGGCATGTCATGCCAACCCTGCACCCAGGGTGCACTGAGATGGCAACTGAGACTGGGCATGGTGGTGCATGCCTATAATTCCAGAGCTTGGGAGGCTGAAAACAGGAGGATCTGTGTAGCAAGGTCCCGTAGACCCTGTATTAAATACATTAAAAAAAAAAAAAAAAAAAGTAATGAGTAGAAAATGACAGTTTGCATAGGCTGGTCTAGGGTGGCTAGGGGTATTGGAAAAAAATTGAAAGTTTGAAGGATACAAACTTTCAGTTAAGACAGGAAGAATAAATTCAAGAGATCTATTGTACAACATGGTGGTTACAACAATGTATGATATTGTTGAAAGAGTAGATTTTAAATACTCTAACCATAAAAGCGGTATGGTAATACATAAGATAATTAGCTTCATTTACTCTAATTCATATATATTTCAAAACAAACTGAGGTACATAATAAATACAATGGTTTTTCAATTAAAAAATTAAAAAGCTTTTAGAAGTAATTTAAGCTGTGTTCCATTTGGTCCCTCTGTATCTCCTAAGGAAAAAAGTAAAAATATACACATATGATGTACTTTCAAAGTACAGCCCTTAATGGCACCTTTGTATTTTCATTAAAATTCAAGTCTAGCTAGATGTGGTGGTGCACACACCTATAATCCAAGCAACTTGATCACAAGTTCAAATACAGTCTGAGCAACTTAGCAAGACCCCATGTAAGGATTCAAAAATGAAAACAGCTAGAGATCACAGTTCAGTGTGAAGACCCCTGACTTAGGACTGCAAAGTAACAGTAATAACTTAAAAAAAAAAAAACAAACAAACTCCTATCTAATTAAACTACCTAAAAAACAGTAGAGTATATACCAGAGAAGCAGTGGAGCAGGAAGAATGTCATGACATCCCATTTCATTTTTCATATGCTTTCAATACACATTTACCAATTAAAGAGCTAGAAAACTATATACTAGATACAGATATGATGTCTCTGCTCAAAACAAATGTACAGGAGGGAGAGAAAAAGATGAAATAAACAGAATTTATAAGAACATAAAAAATAATATCTGGTATATTAGAATGTATAAGAATCTCATAACTTTCACTATAAAATATCTACTAGATTCAGAGTGACACACTTATTATAAATTGATTATGTGTCTCAGTCGTTCTCAAAGTATGTTCCTGGGCCAAAAGAATCACAACTATTTAAGAATACAAATATTGGGCTCCATGATACAAAATGAGAAACTATGGAACAAGACTCAGCCATCAGTTTTAACAAGCCCTTGAAAAGCAATTCTGGCACATTTTAAAGTCAGAGAACCACTACTGAAGACTTACCAATGCTAGGAGTCAAAAACGACTACTGCTGGATATAATGAAATTCTCCTGTGCACTCTTAGATCTTTCCAAACTATTAGTGCCACTTGAATTATTTCATCCAACCTATGGATCCATTTTTCCAGGAACCCCAAGGATATTCTAGGAAGACTGGGGACTTCAGAATGACCTAAAAATCCTCATCTTGAAAATGGGTAATAACAGAAAATGAAAAACTAGCTACTCATCTAGTCTTGTTGATTGTCACAATAACCATCACTACTTAATCATAGCTAAAGCAATGCTAAACTTCAAATCAAGAACTAAACGGTCATATTTCTATCTGAAAAACCATATCAAGTTACTGAATCAGATTAAAAGTAAAATATTCTCAGCTGTTTATTATCTAGAATCTCCACTAAGACAAAAATTTATTTTAGCAGGAATTTTCAGGACTTGAAGAACTCAGAAAATTTAATTTGAAATATTCTATGCTTTATTTTCATTATATAACTCAAAGGAATAATCCACACACTGATTCTTATTTTGGATTTAATCACAGACTTATATTTAAGCCTTGTCATCTCTTTCTTACATTAGGACAAGAAACATTTGGTGAATGTAGAAGAACAAAGTATTTATAGGAAGGAAGTACTATTTAGTCCATTCATAGTCAAAATGATTCATTTTGAAATGTCTGTGTAAGTAATAAGGAACATTCACCTTTCAGATTACTCACAAAATAAACTACGGTTTCATAAATTGTTTTGAGGTTAAATCACTGGTTTGTTTTTCACTTTTTTTCTGAACAATTCTTTTAACCACTTTTGGTAATTTTAGTTGGAATACAAGGCTTGTATAAGCAACCACATTTTTTTTCTTAAACCTACAACTTGTTAGCACACACCTGTAATCCCAGCACTCAGAGGCTTAGTGAATTGAAGGCCAGCTTGAACCACATAGTGAGACCTCATCTCAAAAGAAAAAAACAAACAAACAAAAAACCCACATCTTTCTATATGAATGCTGAGTATTAATGATGAATAACACCAGTACTAAATGACAATATGAAAATGTACTATAGTCCATGTTCTATGTAGCATCTTCAAAACACTGCCAATGGGAACACTTATCCTTCCACACTACCCCACTACACACGTATGCAGGCATGTGTACATGGGAACATCTTCATTTTAATAACTTATTATGAATCTATTCTCACACAACTGTATCTATTCAAAGCCTAAGTCATGTAAGGGAGTTAACACAAGGTAAATATTTTATTTGCATAAATTCATCTTTGAAAATTTTTTACAAAAATCTGCAAATGGTTATTCCCAATCCTAATATCCCCAAATTCCATAAAGAGATGAGCATCTATCCTAACCCCATATGCTACATTTTTACAGACATCAATCACACGAGACTCACTAGAATGACATGAAATACGATGAACAAACAAGAAAGTCTCAGAAAAAAGTGCCTCAGGAGCCCCGCTAACAAGTTCCTATAACAGCTTACCTCTTTAGGGCACTGATTTTTGCAACAACTGAGGAGGTTCTTTTCATTTATATCAGCTGTAGTTATTTTTCTAAAAATAAGGAAAGCTTTGATGATGATCAAAAAGTTAATTTCAAACTATAATTTTTCTAAAAATATGATAAAAAGAGCTCTTGTAATTCACAGTGTCAAATATATCCATAAATACATTTCATTTTTTCTTGATATAGTTTATCTCTACCTGAACAATTATCTTTAGAGTTCTGATAAATTAAACTATCAAGACAACAAATCAAGTATCAAAAAAGCAATCACTACAAGGAGTACAAGATAGAGAATACCATCCATACCTTATACCTGGAATCTGTAATAGTTCCACCTTTCCCTATGAATTAATCATTATAAATCTTAATTGTAATTAATCATTAGAGATTACAATAAAAATTTTAAACTAATATTTAGTATGTTATTTTAAGTTAAAGAACTCAGGCTATCCAGTGAGAAAAGCAGCAAGTTTACTAAAAAAGCTTTTTTCTCTTGCTTTTGGGTTCACACACTAGGAGGATGACTGGAGTACCTCACTGGAATTTTAAAAATTAATTCTAAACATATTGCCATTAGTTCCCCTTGATATACTCCTCCTCCCAACACATTTGGCTGGCAGTCTTCTTTCATGTCTACTTCCACTGCTGTGGCTAGCTCAACTTTCTGAATAGATTCAAATGTTCACCTTTCAGAGCACTTTCTGACTTTAGGAAAGAGTCAAAAGAGGCACAAGCCAAGATCCAAGTGAGAACACACCATAATGTTCTCACCAGCCTGCCTTCTGTTGGAGGGCACTAGGAAGCAGCTTTTCCATATTTATTACGACACCCCGAAAAGATACTCACAAAAGAGGTTTGCTTAACTGCTCCAGAAAGTAAAGAATGATGGAATAAGTGTGCTCAGAACGAGGGGAAATATTTGGAGAAAGATGAATAGCTATGTGCCTTTCATTGTGGTAATTTCAATTAAAACATTCACCATGTATTTTGATCACCCTTCTGTTAGAAATCAATCGCACATCAGCTTTTATGTATTCAAGTTTGATTCAAAAAAGTCACAAACATTAAAGAAACTTTCTTCTAAGGTAGTGACAATAGGCAGTAACTAGCAAAAAATCTGAAACTCCCTATCATAAATATTTCATTTCCCTTTAGCCACTACCTTTCTTCTTGTTTTCAGCTTCCCAGGTGCTGGGATTACAGGCGTGCACCACCATACCCAGTCTCATCGCTGTCTCAGTGCGCTGCGCGGGCAGGGCTGGCACAGCACACCATGCGAAGGATGGAACCCCAACCGCTGTGCTCTGCCTAAGCAGGCGCTTAGTCCACTGAGCTATCAGGCTGGCCCTTTTTATTACATATTTTTTCAAGGGTACCTGTAGTTTAATTTTCTGATACAACTTCTATGTTTAAAAATTGCCTTCCTGAATTCACTTTTATGAATTTCTAATTATTTTTTTCCTCATTTAAGTTCTTAGGTTTTTGTTTTTAATAATTTTATTGAAAAGCAAAGAGCAATGAGATAGTTTCACAACTGATTACTAGCACATTTTCAATAATTAATACATTGCATATTGTTGTCTTAGTGGATATTCATTGTACAAGATGCAGACATGATATCCTGTCTCAAACACTATTAGAACAAATCTCTCTATTCATTGAATTAAGAGAATGGAGCTGTATATCTATCCTAACTATTTTCCGAGGAAAATAGTTTTCCAAAACATGATCCCATGAGGAAAACATTTTTATTATGACAGAAAATGCCCCAAAATTATGCAAACAGGTTAAATGCACATAGAAATTAAAGATATTCGGATAGTCCTTTGACATTAATTTAAGCATAAAACAATAAAATATAAAAAATTAAATCCACTGGCACATACTACTATTAGTAAATAAAAGAGAAAGGTACTTCTTACAATAAAGGCCCATTAATAAATGCAGAAGAAATAATAAAGACACTAGAAAATAGCCATTTGCCTATCCTTTTAACAATTGATCCACACCAGAATCATCAATGAATGGATACTGAGTAGCATGTAAAAGTTTAATGAGGAAAACTCTATAAAATAAAAAGGAATGCAAATATAAGACCATGTGTTTAACTTAGCATCATTATTTCCCATTCATAATGCAAAATTTTCTTACTAAATCCCTCTAAAAAAACTTCCAGTCAGGAAGAGCATGGAGTAAAGTAATACAAGTCTTACAAGAAAACAAATTCCAACCCAGACTGATGTACCCTGTAAAACTCTCTTTCAAGTATAATGGAGAAGTGAAATACTTCCATGACAAAGAACAACTTAAGAATTTCATGATGACAAAGCCAAGCCTACACAGACTA